ACAAGCTAATACTATGGCATTTTTAATTGGGGCTGAAGAGTTTGACAGGTCAATGGGAGAACATTGCACCCATAGAACCAACTGCTTAAAAAAAAAAAAAAAAAAAAACCAAAAAGACGTTCAGGAAGCAGCAGAATCACCTTCTTAATGCTTGCCAACTGTTGCTCTCTGCTGATCCACCACAAAGCACTTTTCATAGAGCAGTAAGCCTTGCCCCCGTTTGAAAGAAAGGCAATACATTTTAGAGAGGTACAAAGCATAGAAATTGTAGCAATGGTGTGCAGAGAGAGCATAATCCCTCCTGACCACAAGGAGAAGGTGAAATATGATCACTGCATGAGTTCTTAATCCTGCCTAATTGGAAACTGAGATAATATTCAAATGAAATCATTCAGCACACATGCCCGTTATCAGGTCTAAACTCCGATTTACACCTTGTGCATGTTGAAAATGCATACCACTCTAAGGAAATGAATGCATATATTAAAAAATTTAAGTTAAGACATAAATTGTGAGAATTAGGCAGCTGCCTGATCATAATGGACCATTAAAAACGTCAAAAAGGTTCATTTTAACACACTGGGGTTGATTTACTAAAACTGGAGTGCGCAATATCTGGTGCAGCTCTGCATAGAAACCAATCAGCTTCCAGGTTTTATCGTTAAAGCTTACCCACTTGAGCTCCAGAGGATTTACCCCCCTTAATGACCAGGCCTCTTTTTTTCTACTCGGCGTTGCACTAATTCAACTGATAATTGCGCGGTCATGCAATGCTGCACCCAAACGAAATTTACATCCTTTTTTTCACACAAATAGAGCTTTCTTTTGGTGGTTTTTGATCATCTGTGCGCTTTTTATTTTTCATGCTATGAACAAAAAAAGGCCAAAAATTTTGAAGAAAAACAATATTTTTTACTTTCAGCTATAAAAAATATATAGTAAACTCAAAGTTGGTTATAAATTTAGGCCAAAATGTATTCTGCTACATGTTTTTGGTAAAAAAAAATCCCAATGAGTGTATATTGATTGCTTTGTGTGGAAGTTATAGCGTCTACAAACTATGGTATAAATACTGCAACTTACGCCATTTTTCTGCTATACAGCGCTGCGCTAGTTTAACGGACAATTGCGTGGTCATGCAATATGGTACATAAATGAAATTTACATCCTTTTTTTCCCCACAAATTGAGCTTTCTTTTGGTGGTATTTGATCGCCTGTGTGGTTTTTATTTTTTGCGCTATAGAAAAAAAGGCTGACAATTTTGAGGAAAAAAAAACCAATATTTTGGACTTTTTGCTATAAAACATGTCCAGTAAAAAAAAAATGCAAAAATCAAATTTAGTCATAAATTTCTGCCAAAATGTATTCTGCGACATGTCTTCGCTAAAAAAAAAAAAACAATACGTGTAAATTAATTGGTTTATGTGAAAGTTATAGCGTTTACAAATGGCGGAAAAGATACTGGGATTTTTAGGGTTTTTTTTATACTAATAACGGCGGCGATCAGTGAATTATGGCAGCAGTGACTTATGGCAGCGACTGCGGACATTCTGACATTGGGGGGTATTGACTTGGGGTCACTGACATCCCCAAAAACACTAATACAGTGATCAGTGCAAAAAGAAAAACACTGACACTGTACTAATGGCACTGGGGAGGAAGGGGTTAAGTTTATTTTGCAGGGAAGGGTTATTGGAGTGAGGGGGAGTGTTTTACTAGGGGGCGGGGGGTGTGTACTGTACAGGACACCGCTGATCGAGAAAGAGAAACTCTTCTGTCTCGATCAGCTCATCCTCGAGCTGACAAGGAAGTGACAGACAGCACAGCTACTGCAGCTGTGCGCTCTGTCACTGTTTACCGCCGATCGCTGGGAAATAGCCGCTAAGGACCGGCTGTGACCCGGCGACTGACATCCGCGGCGGTGATCGGCGGGACAGATAGGGCGGCGGCGCGCCTAGCGCGCGCCCCCTATTTGTTTACAGAAACACACGTTTTAAAACGTGGTTTTGCCTGCCAGTGCCGCCCTGCCGCTGTATATCTACAGTGGCTGGGCGGCAAGTGGTTAATTGAACATTGTAATGTTAAAAATCCAATTGGCTACCATGCACAGCTGCACCAGATTTTGCACTCTCCAGTTTTAGTAAATCTCCCCACTATGTGAATGCAGGGTATGCCTTTGACAGGATATAATGGGGTTTGATTTACTAAAGACAAATAATTGGTTCACTTTGCAAAGGAATTTGCCCAAATCTTTGGGATGTGGTGAAATTTCACTTTGCAATGTGAGCCCAATCATGTGCAAGGAAAATTAGCCACTTGCCTACCGGGCACTTTTACCCCCTTCCTGTCCAGGCCAATTTTCAGCTGCAACGCTGTCGCACTTTGAATGACAATTGCGTGGTCATGCAACACTACCCAAACAACATTTTTATCTTTTTTTTTTGAGACAGGCAGAGCTTTCTTTTGGTGGTATTTGATCACCACTGGGTGTTTTCATTTTTTGCTAAACTAAAAAAGACTGAAAATTGTGAAGAAAAAAAAAAGTTCTTAATTTCTATTAAAAAAAATGTGTAAATAAGCAATTCTTCTCCTTCACTGATGTTCACTAATGAGGCTGCATTGATGGGCATTGACAGGCATCAAAGAAGGGCACTGAAGGCAGCTCTGATGGGCAATATGTGGCATTGATGGGTACTGACAGGTGGCCCTGATGGGGCTACACTGATCATCAGAGCACACTGATCGTCAGTGTAGATGTCCCCTCTGAAGAATGCCGCCTACCGGCTCTCCCTCTCCTCACGTGCTGTCAGTGGGAGGAGAGGACTGCCGATAACCGGCATTTCCTGTTTACATGTGATCAGATGTGATTGGACACAGCTGATCACATACAAGGCCTGTGTCATCGGCTCTTTACTGCGATCGGTGATTCGCTGTGTCCCAGGGACACCGCACCACCGATTGCCTCACCGCACACAGTTAGAGTGGGAGGACGTCATATGACGTCCTCCCAGAACGAGAGAGCCGCCGCCTGCCTGTCATTTCCTTATATAGCAGGCAGGAGGCGGTTAAAAAAATAAAAACCAAACCCCCCCCCCCCCCCCCAAAAAAAAAGCCCATCATCTTTGCTTGCACATGAGTGGATGATGGAAGTCAGCGTAGATTCACTAAGCTCTGGGGAAAGTTCCCTTGCAAAGTAAACAGCCTATTTGCCTTTAGTAAATCAACCCCGATGTGTTCAGCTCACAAAGCTGATTTTTCTCTTTTGCTCGCCACACTTTTCAGATATTTATTTGTAAAAAATGATCAAAACCATTTATCATTTTCCTTCCACTTCACAATTATGTGCCACTTTGTGTTGGCCTATCACATAAAATCCCAATAAAATACATTTACGTTTTTGTTTCTGGAAAATTTCAAGGGGTATGAATACCATTTCAAGGCACTGTAATATAAAGGACACTTACCTATCCAGGGGTCCAGCACCATCCTCACCTGGGCTAGTTCTTTACTAGCCTCTGGGTTCCTGGTGCCGGCATAGCAAGTAAGGGAAACCAGAAATTAAGCCTTGTGGCTTCACAGCCAGTTTCCTACTGTGCATATGCGAGTCGCACTGCTCCCTCTGAATGGTCCTGTAATGTTTTGGGACCTTTGAAGTGTCCTGGAAGACTGTGGGGGGAGCTGAACTGTCAAAACTAGGTACCCGTTCCCCCCTCTCCCCCAAAAAAGTGCCAAATGTGGCAGTGGAGGGGGAAGGGAGGGTGCAAACAAGCGGAGCTTCCTGTTTTGGGTGGAACTCTGCTTTAAATTTAAGTGTTACTAAACCCCGGACCCTGCATTCACTATATCTGGTCTCCCACCGTACACAGAACACGAAACGCAATTATTTTAGTAAATATAAACTGCTAAACCGAACACTGGTCAATGTTGTAGGAAGAGTTATTATTCTCCTCTGACTGCCTTATATAACCCCTAATGATCCTCTGTCTGGACAGAGGTGATTGTCCCTATGGTGATCACATGCAACCCCCCCCCCCAAAAAAAAAAACAAATCTCCAGCAATACACACCAAACAGAGCATGTGCAGACTTTCCACTGTTGCTCTAACTATGGCGGATGGATTGGGGACAACAAAGGAAGGGAGGATCAGAGAAGACAGGATCAAACAGCCTTTTTACACAATGCAGAGGAGTAACCCCTTAGGTTCCACGGTGAGTATAACGAGCATGCTTTACTGCGTATACAGATTGAGATGAACTAGGAGCGCAGAGAGAAAGCACACAGAGGCAAATCACAAGGAACCCGACATGCGGGCATTTACTGGGGCACTCTGGGTACACGCAGTAGAAGAATTAGTCCAAAGAACAAACAGTAAGCACAGCAATGAAGAGAGCTCCTCAGGACAGCAATATGGGACAGTAAATAGGTGATATATCCCAGGGCAAACAGGGCAGAGCAGTGTTTGGCCCAGCTGGGTTAAAGTTCTTGGCACATGGGCAGAGCCGTGCTGGCAAAGCAGGGTAGCATGGCACAGAACAACAAAATAGCCCACTGGGCAGTAATGTATCACCGCATAGTCCACATAGGACGCAGGCCAGTCATCTGGGCATATAAGAGTTAGTCCAGCACACACACTCTGACCTAGAGGTGCCCAGCTTGGACCTCTCATGATGATCATATGACACTATTAGCGATGGGGCATATGATATGTTTGAGATAAAGTTGTTGAGACCTATACATACGATCTATGACTCACCTATGTGGATGTCAATATATACATTTTAAGAACACTGAGATCCCCCATAAATATGTGATCTGGGTTGGCCGCTGTGTTCAGTCTGGGTGGGAGTCTTGGATGCCCGTAGCTAGAGATGAGCGAAGTTCAAAAATTCGATTCGACTGATTCGGTTCGGCGAATTCGTGGAAAAATTTCGATTCGAGTCGAATATATTCGCTGCGAATTTAACTTATAAAAGGGGTGTTTCTAGGCTTCAGAGAGCCTTTATATTAGTGCAGAACACTGTACCTTTAATTTAAATGCCCTTGGAGTCTGCTGGGGAAGAGAAATAATACTGACAGTCAGTATGACATGCAGATGAGTGCCGTCGATCTTAGAATCACCGCACACTTCACTCATTTGGGCAGTCACGGGGCCAAAACCAGAGTGTGGAGCCACAGTGTGGGCGGTGGAGGCAGCAGCAATGGGAGGCCATACAGCACCCTATGAGAAAAATGGAAACCACCAGCAGTGTGAGGAGACCTGAAAGTGGCACATGGCAGAGTGTGGCGATGGAGACAGCAGCAATGGGAGGCCGTACAGGGACCCATGACACACTCTGGACCTGGCAGCAGCATGAGGAGGCGGTACAGGGGCCCATGACAGATTACGGGCCTGGCAGCAGCATGAGGAGTAGGTACGGGGGCCCATGGCAGATTACGGGCCTGGCAGCAGCAATGGGAGGCCGTACAGGGACCCATGACACACTCTGGACCTGGCAGCAGCATGAGGAGGCGGTACAGGGGCCCATGACAGATTACGGGCCTGGCAGCAGCATGAGGAGTAGGTACGGGGGCCCATGGCAGATTACGGGCCTGGCAGCAGCAATGGGAGGCCGTACAGGGACCCATGACACACTCTGGACCTGGCAGCAGCATGAGGAGGCAGTACAGGGGCCCATGACAGATTACGGGCCTGTAGCAGCATGAGGAGTCGGGTACGGGGGCCCATGACACACTCTGGACCTGGCAGCAGCATGAGGAGGCGGTACAGGGGCACATGACAGATTACAAGCCTGGCAGCAGCAACTTGGACAGGAGGACGTTCAGCTTCTGCACCGTCGGGTGCGTGCTCGCAAACTGTTGTCTCTTGGAAACGTATTCCAAGAAAGACTGCTGACGGAATCCGTGAAGAGGAGTAGCAGGAGAAGGAGCATCTGAACGAGCGGAATATGCCAACAAGCGACAACAGGGGTCCATGACAGATTACGGGCCTGGCAGCAGCATGAGGAGTCGGTACGGGGGCCCATGGCAGATTACGGGCCTGGCAGCAGCAATGGGAGGCCCGTAATCTGCCAGCACCCTATGACAAAAAATGGAACACACCAACAGTGTGTGAGGAGACCTGAAAGTGGCACATGGCAGAGTGTGGCGATGGAGACAGCAGCAATGGGAGGCCGTACAGGGACCCATGAGAGACTCTGGACCTGGCAGCAGCATGAGGAGGCGGTACAGGGGCCCATGGCAGATTACGGGCCTGGCAGCAGCAATGGGAGGCCTGTAATCTGCCAGCACCCTATGACAAAAAATGGAACACACCAGCAGTGTGAGGAGACCTGAAAGTGGCACATGTTTGGGGCATGATTCATGGCGGATTTAGTCAGTTGTGTTAGGAACTGGTGGTTTGAAATCCAGACTAATCCACGCCTGATTCATTTTCACAAACGTGAGTCTCTCCACACTTTGGGTGGACAGTCGTGTCCTCCGCGGAGTTACAATACCTCCTGCCGCACTAAACACGCGCTCCGATGCCACGCTACTGGCCGGGCATGACAGCCTTTCAAGGGCAAATTCAGCTAGTTGGGGCCAAAGGTCAAGTTTCATTGCCCAGTAGTCAAGGGGATTGTCTACCTCGGTTGGCAGGGTGTGCTGTCCAAGTAGGCCTAAGCCTGTTGTTTGAGGTCCTGCTCCAGGTCCACCTGATGCTGCTGCTGCTCTGCTGCAGCTGGTTAGTAGTTTCCTCACTGCGCTGGTAAAGAAAGCTACTCATCATCGACTGCAGACTGAGGCAGCCGCTGCTGGTGGAGCTGCCACTGCTCCTACCACCCCCACCCCTCCCCTGCTGCCATGGCAGCGGAACGCGAGCGCACAGGGCCCACAGTGTCTGAGGATGGACGTTGGCGCAGAAAGGCAGAGACCAACTGACTACATAGGTGGTTTTTATAGTACGTTATTTTGGCCTCCCTCTCAGCAGTGTGAAAAAGGCCACCATTTTTGAACGGTAGCGAGGGTCCAACAAGGTGGACAGCCAAAAGTCATCCCTCTGTCTGATGGTTATTATTCGGCTGTCACTAACGCAAGCAAGCGAGCATGCTATGGGCCATTTTGTGCCAAGGAATGCGAGGGACTCCCTGCCTCCATCTCCACAGCATACTGCCACGGTGCGTCTGGGTCCTCTGTCTCCTCCTCCTCCTCCTCCTCTACCAGATGCTCCTGCTCCTCCACTCCTGTCCGCTGAGTGGAAAAACCACCCATTTCACTCAATAATTCCTGAGCACCAATGTCCTCCTCTACCTCCTCCTCTTCTTCCTGTCCTGCCCCCACAGGGGTCATGTGGCGTTGAGATCTGTGCGCCACGTCTACCGCACCCCTGACCAGCCATTGTTTAACAGCATTTGTTCCAGGACGTGCAACAGAGGAATGACGTCATTCATCCCATAGTCCTGCCGACTCACGAATAGCGTGGCCTCCTCAAACGGCCCTGAGCAAGCGCAGGTGTCACGCATGAGCTGCCAATGGCTGACATCTAAGTTACACAGGGAGTACCTTTATCCGCTTGTAACATCAGGAAATCTGTGATGGCCTTTCGCTGTTCGTAAAGGTGGTCTAACATATGTAGGGTTGAATTCCACCTTGTTGCAACGTCACAGCGTGAGGAGTCGGTACGGGGGCCCATGGCAGATTACGGGCCTGGCAGCAGCAATGGGAGGCCCGTAATCTGCCAGCACCCTATGACAAAAAATGTAAACACACCAGCAGTGTGAGGAGATCTGAAAGTGGCACATGGCAGAGTGTGGTGATGGAGACAGCAGCAATGGGAGGCCGTACAGGGACCCATGAGAGACTCTGGACATGAGGCAGCATGAGGAGGCAGTATAGGGGCCCATGGCAGATTAGGGGCCTGGCAGCAGCTATGGGAGGCCCGTAATCTGCCAGCACCCTATGACAAAAAATTGAACACACCAGCAGTGTGAGGAGACCTGAAAGTGGCACATGGCAGAGTGTGGCGATGGAGACAGCAGCAATGGGAGGCCGTACAGGACCCATGAGAGACTCTGGACCTGGCAGCAGCATGAGGAGGCGGTATAGGGGCCCATGGCAGATTAGGGGCCTGGCAGCAGCTATGGGAGGCCCGTAATCTGCCAGCACCCTATGACAAAAAATGGAACACACCAGCAGTGTGAGGAGACCTGAAAGTGGCACATGGCAGAGTGTGGCGATGGAGACAGCAGCAATGGGAGGCCGTACAGGGACCCATGAGAGACTCTGGACCTGGCAGCAGCATGAGGAGGCGGTATAGGGGCCCATGGCAGATTAGGGGCCTGGCAGCAGCTATGGGAGGCCCGTAATCTGCCAGCACCCTATGACAAAAAATGGAACACACCAGCAGTGTGAGGAGACCTGAAAGTGGCACATGGCAGAGTGTGGCGATGGAGACAGCAGCAATGGGAGGCCGTACAGGGACCCATGAGAGACTCTGGACTTGGCAGCAGCATGAGGAGGTGGTATAAGGGCCCATGGCAGATTAGGGGCCTGGCAGCAGCTATAGGAGGCCCGTAATCTGCCAGCACCCTATGACAAAAAATGGAACACAACAGCAGTGTGAGGAGACCTGAAAGTGGCACATGGCATGAGACACTGTGGACCTGGCAGCAGCATGAGGAGGCGGTACAGGGGCCCATGGCATATTAGGGCCTGGCAGCAGCTATGGGAGGCCCGTAATCTGCCAGCACCCTATGACAAAAAATGGAACACACCAGCAGTGTGAGGAGACCTGAAAGTGGCACATGGCATGAGACACTGTGGACCTGGCAGCAGCATGAGGAGGCGGTACAGGGGCCCATGGCAGATTAGGGGCCTGGCAGCAGCTATGGGAGGCCCGTAATCTGCCAGCACCCTATGACAAAAAATGGAACACACCAGCAGTGTGAGGAGACCTGAAAGTGACACATGGCAGAGTGTGGCGATGGAGACCAGCAGCAATGGGAGGCCGTACAGGGACCCATGAGACACTGTGGACCTGGCAGCAGCATGAGGAGGCGGTACAGGGGGGCCCATGGCAGATTAGGGGCCTGGCAGCAGCTATGGGAGGCCCGTAATCTGCCAGCACCCTATGTCAAAAAATTGAAACACACCAACAGTGTGAGGAGACCTGAAAGTGGCACATGGCATGAGACACTGTGGACCTGGCAGCAGCATGAGGAGGCGGTATAGGGGCCCATGGCAGATTAGGGGCCTGGCAGCAGCTATGGGAGCCTGTAATCTGCCAGCACCCTATGACAAAAAATTGAACACACCAGCAGTGTGAGGAGACCTGAAAGTGGCACATGGCAGAGTGTGGCGATGGAGACAGCAGCAATGGGAGGCCGTACAGGGACCCATGAGAGACTCTGGACCTGGCAGCAGCATGAGGAGGCGGTACAGGGGCCCATGGCAGATTAAGGGCCTGGCAGCAGCTATGGGAGGCCCGTAATCTGCCAGCACCCTATGTCAAAAAATGGAACACACCAGCAGTGTGTGAGGAGACCTGAAAGCGGCACATGGCAGAGTGTGGCGATGGAGATAGCAGCAATGGGAGGCCGTACAGGGACCCATGAGACACTGTGGACCTGGCAGCAGCATGAGGAGGCGGTACAGGGGCCCATGGCAGATTAGGGGCCTGGCAGCAGCTATGGGAGGCCCGTAATCTGCCAGCACCCTATGACAAAAAATTGAACACACCCAGCAGTGTGAGGAGAGACGTGAAAGTGGCACATGGCAGGGGCATGATTCATGGCGGATTTAGTCAGTTGTGTCAGGAGCTGGTGGTTTGAAATCCAGACTAATCCACGCCTGATTCATTTTCACAAACGTGAGTCTCTCCACACTTTGGGTGGACAGTCGTGTCCTCCGCGGAGTTACAATACCTCCTGCCGCACTAAACACGCGCTCCGATGCCATGCTACTGGCCGGGCATGACAGCCTTTTCAAGGGCAAATTCAGCTAGTTGGGGCCAAAGGTCAAGTTTCGTTGCCCAGTAGTCAAGGGGATTGTCTACCTCGGTTGGCAGGGTGCTGTCCAAGTAGGCCTAAGCCTGTTGTTTGAGGTCCTGCTCCAGGTCCACCTGATGCTGCTGCTGCTGGTTAGTAGTTTCCTCACTGCGCTGGTGAAGAAAGCTACTCATCATCGACTGCAGACTGAGGCAGCCGCTGCTGGTGGAGCTACCACTGCTCCCTACCACCCCACCCCTCCCCTGCTGCCATGGCAGCGGAACGCGAGCGCACAGGGCCCACAGTGTCTGAGGATGGACGTTGGCGCACAAAGGCAGAGACCAACTGACTACATAGGTGGTTTTTATAGTACGTTATTTTGGCCTCCCTCTCAGCAGGTGTGAAAAAGGCCACCATTTTTGAACGGTAGCGAGGGTCCAACAAGGTGGACAGCCAAAAGTCATCTCTCTGTCTGATGGTTATTATTCGGCTGTCGCTACGCAAGCAACCGAGCATGCTATGGGCCATTTGTGCCAAGGAATGCGAGCGACTCCCTTCCTCCA